GCGTCGGGGTTTCGGGTCTGGGGTGCGCTCTTCCTTGTTTGCGACGCCAAAGCGAGCAAGCTCTCCTCTCACACTCTCCGCCGCGTCCTCCTTGGCTTCCCCACCAACGCCCCGCCGTTGCAGTTCTACCACCCACGCGAGCGTCGAGTCTTCCTCTCCCAAGACGTCACCTTTTACGAGCCTGTCTGTTTCTACAGGCTACACCCGCACGCATCCCACCCGGTCCCCCTCGTGCCTCACTTCCTGGTACCAGTCCCCCCTTCGGTAGACCCCCTCCCCCCATAGGGTCTTGCTCTCTCAGGTGTGTCTCAGGTAGACCCACCCCCTTTGGTTGAGCCTCTGGAGATCTCTTCTGTCTTCTCTGGCCCAGCTGAGGGGGGTGATCCCGCCGCTGACGACACGGCGGCCACTCGCCGCTCTCCACGCTTGGAGACCCCACCTGGTTTTCCGCCTCGGCCGTCTTCGCCCCCTCCGCAGCCTGGTGCTGTGGACTCTGGAGCTAAGCCTGCTGGTGCTGAGCCTAGGGGTGCTGGGACAGAGGGTGAGGGTTTTGGGGGTGCTGCGCCTAGTGGTGTTGCGACTGGGGGTGCTGGTTCTGGGGTGCTGCGACTGGGGGTGCTGACTCTGGGGGTGTTGCGAGTCCTAGTGGCGGTGGAGCTGTGGGTGACCCTGCTAGAGGTCTTGGAGCTGGACAGCCACCGTAGCCTAATCTGCTTGAGACGCTCTCGCCGCAGGCGATTCGTGCGTGGATCGTTCGGCGAGGCAGTCCTGGTGGTGGAGGGTACGGTCCTACTGGTGCTGGAGCTGCTAGTCCTGGAGGTGCTGGAAGTGCTGGAGGTACTGCTGGAGGTACTAGGGGTGCTGCTGGTGCTGGAGGTAATGGAGCTGCTAGTCCTGGAGGTACTGGAGGTGCTGCTGGTGCCGAAGGTGCCGGAGCTACTTGTCTTGGAGGTGCTACTGTGCTGGAGGTGCTGGAGCTACTGGCACTGGAGGTGCTGGAGCTACTGGTCCTAAAGGTGCTGGTACTGGAGGTGGTGGCACTTGAGGGCTACTGGTGCTGGAGTTGCGGGAGCAGCTGGTCTTGGAGGTGCTCGTACTCGAGGTACTGGAGCTGCTGGAGCTAGTGGTGCTGCTCGTGCTGGAGGTGCTACTGGAGCTGCTGGCACTAGAAGTGCTGGTGCTGGAGACGCTGGAGCTCGAGGTACTGGAGGTGCTGGAGCTGCTGGAGAAGCTAGTGCCGCTAGTGCTGGAGGTGCTGGAGGTGCTACTGGAGCTGCTGATACTGGAGGTGCTGGAGGTATTGGAGGTGCTGGAGCTGCTGGAGCTGCTGGTCCTGGAGGTGCTCGTACTAGGGGTGCTGGAGCTGCTGGAGCAGATGGTGCTGTTGATGCTGGAGGTGCTACGAGAGCTGCTGGTGCTGGAGGTGCTGGTGCTGCTGGTGCGGGAGGAGCTGGAGATGTTCGTACTGCCCCGCGCTTACCGTTTTTCTACCCGCATCCGCAATCGTCCCTCCCGCCGCCTGACTTGGTCCTTCGCCAGGTTCTTAGTCTCGCGTTTTTCACTAGCCTCCCTCTACCTCTCATGTGTCCACTAACAGACCAGTCTCACCCACAGCTACTGCCTGGCTCCCCCCTGCTTGCGCCTGCTCATCAGACTGAGGTAATTGAGTCCCTGACTGAGCGCCGTGAGCATGAGACTTGTGCTTCCACAACTGTCCGTGCCCGTCGTGTCGCCCGTCCTCGTCCTCCTGCTGCCCCAGGCACTCATGGTATGGCGCTTCGTCCTTCCTCTGTTTTACCGCGTGTTGTTTTGCCTGAGCCTCCAGCGCTCTCTCTTCTGCACGTTCCTGACCCTGAGTCCGACCTTGCTCATGATGCCAGTCCTATTGTCACTCGTGTCCTCGCTACTGTCGTCACTGACCCTGACTTTGAGTCTACTGCTGCATTTTCCCCAATCACTGAGCTAGTGGACTTTGCAGCTAGGAGTCGTCTCGACTACATCACGAGTCTTGTTACTGAGTCTGAGTCTTTCTGTCCTCCGTCACTCGGGGGTGAGCCTGCCCTTAGCGGTGACGTCCTTGAGGACAGGCAGTTAAAGCTTGAGTGTCTTGCAGCCGCTTTACCTCGTTCCGCATTCATACTGCTTTCCCCTAAGGGAGACCCGGATGCACTTGACATCCCTACCCTGCGCTTTTACGCTGAGGCGATTGTGGGTGAGTACTACTCTTAGTGGCAGACAGCTATGGACGCAGAGATGGCTTCTTGGAAGTCCACAGACACCTACATCGCGAGGTTTCTCCTCCTGGGGCGAACATAGTCGATGGCATGTGGATTTTCAGAGTGAAGCGACCGCCAGGTTCTCCGCCTGCCTTCAAGGCGCGTTACGTTGCTCGAGGCTTCAGTCAGCGATAGGGGGTCGACTTCTTCCAGCCCTTCTCCCCCACCCCGAAGATGACTACTCTTCGGGTGCTGCTGCACGTAGCAGCACAGCTTGACAACGCGCTGCACTCCCTCGACTTCTCCACAGCTTTCTTGCAGGGCAGCCTTCACGAGCGGATCTGTCTACGCCGCCCACCTGGCTTCACTGGGTCGTTTTCTGTGGGTACCCAGTGGAGCCTTCGGCGGCCAGTCTACGGTCTCCGCCAGGCGCCCCGAGAGTGGCACGACACACTGAGAACTACACTTGTGGCTCTTAAGTTTGCTCCTTTCTCTGCTGACCCGTCGCTGTTTCTACGCACCGACACTACCCTGCCGCCGTTCTACGTTCTCGTGTACGTCGGCAACTTGGTTTTTACTACTGCTAACACCAAGGTGATGGCCCTAGTGAAGGCGGAGCTGCAGGAGAGACACATTTGCACTGACCTGGGTGAGCTGCGTAGCTATCTTGGCTTGCACATCACCAGGGACAGAGCACGGTGCACCATCACCCTGACTCAGGCACACATGGTGCACCAGGTCCTTCGGCGCTTCGGCTTCCAGTACTCCTCGCCACATCCCACTCCTCTGTCTACCGGCCACTCGCTCTCTGCTCCACCTTCGTACAAGTCCGTATAGCCGAGTGGTCTGTACCCAGAGCTTGTGGGTTGCCTCATGTACTTGATGACATGCACACGACCTGACGTCGCGTACCCTCTCGGCCTCCTCGCTCGCTACGTGGCTCCCATTAGACACCGAAAGGTGCACTGTGATGTTGCAAAGAGGGTGCTGCATTTCTTGTGCAGTACATCGGGCATGGGGCTCGTGCTTGGAGGACGGGGTTCAGTGGTACTCACGGGACACTCTGACGCTTCTTGGGCCAACGACCAAGCGACTCAGCGTTCGTCACAGGGTTACACCTTTAGTATTGGCTCTGTTTCTGTCTCGTGGAGGTCTAATCGTTCTTCTTCTGTACTTGGTTCCAGCACATTGCTCTTCGCTACTTTCTTGCTCGAAAGCTGCGTGGTCAGCTTCTTCTTTCCTACGTGGCCTCTCGGGCCAACACTGCTGATGTCTTCACCAAGGCCCTCGTATCTGGTGATCTTCGGCGTTTTTGCACTGCTCTTGGGCTTCTGCCCGTTCTACCTCACGTGCTTGTCTCTTGATCTTGCACTTGTTGTACACTGATATCTATATTTATACCTGCATGTTTTCTCTTGCTAGGTTGTGATTAGTGTACTGCCTTGCTACACTGATATCTATATTTATACCTGCATGTGAACTGGCCTTGTGGCCGCTTGCTTGTGCTCGGATTGTGTGGTGTCCTTGAGATCCACCCTAGGCTTGGCTTTACTTTGCTCTGTTGTCTTGCTTGACTGGTCTTGTGGCCGTCTTCTTGTCCCCCACTTAGCCTATGGGGGTGTGTCAATATACAATCTTACTTGTAGGCTATAGTGAGGCACTCCTTATGGGGTACAACACTTCTACGGTTTGTACTTGTACCCCAACTCTTGCTAATCCAATCTTTCCTGCACATTTATTCTGACACTCAAGTTGATCAAGTGCTTTGTAGTCGATGGAATACGGGCCTGAAAATTGGTTTACGAATTTGGGGCCAAAGTTTTGACAAATCGAGACTCTCCAAAGAACCCACTTTTCGCCAAAGTGCTTTGCAGTTGCACGGCCAAGCCGTACATGAGACCCCGGCTTTAAAGTACATGGCTAGCAAGGACGATTTGAATTCCCTTATACGAATGTATTTGCATGTATTTATCATCTCAGTACATGTACATGGTATTACAGTTGTTCGGCTGAGAAATAGCCCTTAGGATCTTTACAGGGGTGAACTCTGGGTAGAACTGATGTAGTAGCGGAAGCGTTTAATGAAGAGTTGTGAACCACCTTGCGCTAGTATATGAGGGCAAAGTTTATTAATTAAAGCAAAGAGATACAAGGAATACGAAGAGATACGATTCCAACAGTTTTACTATTGCTGTTGCGGTTCGATACAGTGACGACTTGGGCAACTGCTCTGTAACGAGTCAGTTGTGTGTCCTTGCTGTCGCGCTGTACTTGTCACGTCAAAGGTCGCTGACCTTTGACTTTCGCGTAACCTCCAGCAACTGCTTCAACCTCCGAGGGTTGACTCGCCAGTGCTTCGATATGCTTCGCTTCACTTCTGACTTGGTGTTTCGACACGACAGAGGCGCTTAGAGTTAATTGTTTCCAACAACAGTGACACCACTACTGATTGTAGTTATCTAGGCCCATGTCTCTTAGTGCAGCAGAGCACACGTCACGGCATGACTTGTGTTTGCTCTTGACGTTGCGAATCACGGCCTCCAGTCCCATCTCCACCATTATTGGCCTGGGCAGGCGACAGGGGAGAAAAAGGGGCGGTATTCATCCTCAAGGTTGCATGCATGTCACAGGATACTCAGCAGCACATGGCCTACTGCAGCAGTAGAGGGGAGACTGCAAAAGCATACCAGCAGGCACAAGGCAGAGCAAGGCAGCGAGGAGCATGGGAGGGGCGCATCGGTGTTCAGGGTTGCGCACAGCAAGGTTGCGCAGCAGCTGGCACGCCTACCACTGGCTGCCTGCCGTGGCGCCCCGGCCCTCCATGGCCTCCACTGCCACCTCCAACACGCCCGCCCCCACCGCCGCAGCTGCATGCGCCGGGCTGCGCAGTGTCACGGCTGCCAGACACGCCAGCAGCTGTGGGTGGAAGAGGGGACGAGGTGGGGGCGATGAGAGATACGGGGAAGAAAGTGAGTGGTGGGGCGAACACTAGTGGCGCCACGGCTGCTGCCAAACACGCACGGTTGAACGACGCCGTGGCTGGTGGGCAGGCAAGGAGGCGAGGAGATGCGGTGGGAGAGGTTGGGATGGGGAGGGGGAAGCGAGTGGAAGCATACAGCATGGCGAGTGGAAGCATACAGCATGGCGAGTGGAAGCATACAACATGGGAGCTGTGATGGCATTGCAATGCGAGCGATCTAACAGCCTGAGAGCAGTGCACGGGAGCGGGGAGGGAGGCGGCAAGGCCAGAGCACACGGTGTCGGGGAGATAGCAAGGCACAGTCTGTTGGGAATGTCCCTTAACATTCAATACTCAATTGCCGGCGCTTGTGCATCAAGCACTTCCGTTACTGCTCAACCTCGCCACCTATAGATGACGGTAAATAGGCAGCAGCACCCCATACCTCCTGCAGCACACCCCATACCTCCTGCAGCACACCCCATACCTCCTACAGCACATCACCATCGTCCACAAATGCCTTCACTACTTCCACCAATACTGGAATGCCACATGTCTCCACTATGAGCACCTTGTTGGCATCACTGCTGTCAGAACTTATAGCTTACTTGTTTCTGTAGGCTATAGTGGGGTATCCCATAGGGGGTACAACCCAATTAGGGTTTCCTATTTGTACTCACTTCGTTCATAGTCATTTCATTCTCGTTCTTTGTTTCCACATGGAATCAGAGCAGGTTCCCTCCTAGGGACTGCTTCTAGGGCCCACCGAACCGCGCCCCGAGGCGCGTTTTTTTTTTTTTTTAGCGACCCGTCGTGTCGCCCCTAGCGGACCGTTGCGCCGCCCTTCCCCTTGCGGCCCCGCCGCTCTCTTCGGTCGCGGCCCCGCCGCCCTCTGCTACGCGGCCCCGCCGCCCTCTGCTACGCGGCCCCGCCGCCCTCTGCTACGCGGCCCCGCCGCCCTCTGCTACGCGGCCCCGCCGCTCTCTTCGGTCGCGGCCCCGCCGCCACTCTGCTACGCGGCCCCGCCGATCCGCCCAGCAGCAACCGCCGCCGCCTGAGCCGCCGCCGAGCCTTCGCCGAGCCGCCGCCGAGCCGCCGCCCGAGCCGCCGCCGAGCCGCCAGAGCCGCCGCCGAGCCGCCCGTGACGCCCGAGCCGCCCGCGCCGCCCAGCAGCAGCCGAGCCGCCGCCGAGCCGCCGCCGCCTGAGCCGCCGCCGAGCCGCCGCCGAGCCGCCGCCGAACCGCCACCGAGCCGCCGCCCGAGCCGCCGCCGAGCCGCCCGCGCCGCCCGAGCCGCCTGCGGAGCCGTGCTGCTGTTCCTCTGCTGCTGACCTACCCGCCTCTCCCAGCCCGGTGAGATTTTCAGCTGCTGTCATGGCCACCCCCAATGTTCTTACCTTTGACGCTGAGGGGAGGGCCATTGACTTTGCCGTCTGGATTGAAGACCTGCAGCTGTACTTACTGTGTGATGCGATAGATGAGGTCTCTCTCTTTGACTTTGTCTCTGGCGCTGTCCCTGCCCCACCTGCTGATGCTGACTCTGCCGTTCGCTCCAAGTGGGCGACCCGCGATGCTGCTGCACGTCTTGCTGTGCGTCGCCACCTCCCTTCCTCTGAGCGTGCCCACTTTAGTCAGTGCAAGACCGCTCAGGCCTTGTACGACGCTGTAGTTGCACGCTACTCCTCCCCTTCCTCCGCTACCCTTAGCCGCCTCATGCTACCGTTTCTCTTCCCTGACCTCGCTTCCTTTCCCACTGTCGCTGACCTCGTTACCCACCTCCGTGCTAGTGACACCCGCTACCGCGCTGCCCTTCCTGCTGAGTTCCGCGCTGCGAACCCTCCTCCCATGTACATCACTCTCTACTTTCTCGTCACCCGTCTCCCTGAGTCCCTTCGTGTCGTTAGGGACCAGTTTCTCTCTGTCTGTCCCACCACTCTCACTGTCGACCTCCTTGAGGAGTCCCTGCTAGCGGCTGAGAAGAGTATTGTCGCTGTAGGGGCCTCTCGGGGTGACCCTCGCACCCCTATCTTTGAGGGGTGTGGTCCTTCCCCCCTGCTGCCCTCTGTCGCCTCTGCCGCTGCGGCCGACCTCACTGGTTTTGAGTCGGTCGGCGCGGCGTCTGCCCCCAGCGGCAGACGCCGCGCTGGCAAGGGCAAGGGGGGCAAGGGAGCGGGTGGAGCTAGAGGGGGCGGTGGAGGAGGCGGTGGGGGTGGCGGGGGGAGTGGGGGTGGCGGTGGGGGTGGTGGCGGAAGTGGAGGTACTGGTGGCGGCGGTGGAGGCGGAGGTGGCGGCGGAGGTGGTAGCGGAGGAGGCGGTGGGAGCGGTGGGAGCGACGGTCCTGGTGGGGGAGGTGGAGGTGGAGACGGGGGTGGCGGTGGAGGCGGGGGTGGCAGTGGAGGCGGGGGTCGGAGTGGCTCGTCCCAGCGGAGCAGCTCCGGGGGTGGTCAGCGCCAGCAGCAACAGCAGCAGCAGCCGCAGCAGCAGCCACAGCAGCAGCAGCGCTCTCGCACCGTCCCCGCCCCTCAGCAGCTCCGTGAGTGGTACTCGCAGCGTCAGCGTGGTGGTGCGCTTGGTCCTTGCCCCTACGTTCTCCGCACCGGTGACCGTGCAGGGGAGAGGTGTGGAGGCGCCCACACTGCCCGCCGCTGCTTTGGCCGCCTGACTGACGCCTGGCGTCAGCAGTTTCCGGAGGCAGCTGAGATCCCCCGCTGGGGAGAGCTGTCTAGGGCTGGTGTAGCTATTTATGATCTTGATTTTGATGCTATTCTCTCTGCTATGTATGCTGCGATTGGTAGTGATGAGGATGACTGTTACCGGTGTTTCCCGCCCGACCCGGGCATTGGTACTGCCGCGTCAGGTACTAGTGAGGCTGCTGCTCTAGGTGCCAGTGCGTCTGTGCTCTCAGGTGCTGGTGAGTCTGCCCTCTCAGGTACTGTGTCGGCTTCGGCCTCTCACACCTTCACCCTTGACTCTGGAGCGTCTCGCTCCTTCTTTCGGGACCGCACCACTCTCACGCCGCTGAGTCGGCCGGTTGCGGTGTCCCTGGCTGACCCCTCTGGGGGGCCTGTCCTGTCTCGCTTCTCCACTGTCCTCCCGTGTCCGGCGGCCCCCTCTGGCACCCTGACTGGTCTCTACCTCCCCTCGTTCTCGACGAACTTGGTGAGTGGTGCTGACCTCCAGGATGCGGGTGTCCACCAGTTCACCCCTGCTCGTCAGCGGGTGACCCACTGCACGGAGGCGGATACAGGTCGCCACCTGGCTACGTTTACACGTCGGCCAGGGTCGAGCCTGTACACTCTGACCACTGCTTCTCCTCCAGGTGCTGAGTCTGGTAGGGTCACTTCGTCTGGTCAGGTGTTTGCTGCAGCGTCCAGGTCTGGTCCTGAGTCTGCCCCCTGCTCGTGCCGTCGTTTGTCTCACGAGACCCTCCTCTGGCACCACCGCCTTGGCCACCCCTCTCTGCTTCGGCTCAGAGGCATGGCCTCGCGAGTCCTTGTGTCTGGTCTTCCCCGGTCTCTCCCTCCCCTTCCTCCGGGCCCTGGCCCCACCTGTGTCCCCTGTGTCGAGGGGCGCCAGCGTGCTGCCCCTCACTCCTCCCAGTTTCCTCCGACAGAGGCCCCGTTGCAGACGCTTCACATGGATGTGTGGGGCCCAGCCCGCGTCCGTGGACAGGGTCAGGAGCGCTACTTCCTGCTGGTGGTTGACGACTACTCGCGTTACACCACAGTCTTCCCCTTGCGCAGCAAGGGTGAGGTCACTGCGGTGTTGATCGACTGGATCCGCGCAGCTCGTCTCCAGCTTCGGAGGAGCTTTGGCTCTGACTTCCCTGTTTTGCGTCTGCACTCGGACAGAGGCGGAGAGTTCTCCTCTGGCCTCCTGAGTGCCTACTGTCGTGCGCGAGGCATCCGTCAGACCTTCACGCTTCCGGACTCACCGCAGCAGAATGGGATTGCTGAGCGCCGCATTGGCATGGTCATGGACGTCGCTCGTACGTCCATGATGCATGCGGCTGCTCCCCATTTTCTGTGGCCGTTTGCGGTCAGGTACGCTGCGCACCAGATCAACCTCCACCCCAGGGTCTCTCGACCGGAGACCTCCCCAGCCCTGCTGTGGACGGGGAAGGTTGGCGATGCGTCGGCGTTCCGGGTCTGGGGATCTCGGGTGTTTGTTCGCGACCTGTCTGCGGACAAGCTATCCCCTCGTGCTTCTCCCTGCGTCTTCCTGGGGTTCCCCCCCGACGCCCCTGGGTGGCAGTTTTACCACCCCACCTCTCAACGTGTTCTGTCCTCCCAGGACGTCACGTTCGACGAGTCGGTACCCTACTACCGCCTCTTCCCCTACCGCACTCCGTCCCTCCCCCCACCCCCGCTCTTCTTGGTACCAGGTCCCCCCCCGGTAGTCCCCCTCCCCCCTCAGGGTCCTGCCCCTTCAGGTGTGTCCCAGGTAGACGCGGTCGAGCCTGTCGAGGTCACTGGTGACTCTGGTGCTGCTGCGGGAGCTGAGCCTGGGGGTGCGGAGTCTGGGGGTGCTGAGCCTGGAGGTGCCGAGTCTGGGGGTGCTGAGCCTGGGGGTGCTGAGCCTGGGGGTGCTGTGCCTGGAGGTGCCGAGTCTGGGGGTGCTGTACCTGGGGGTGCTGAGCCTGGGGGTGCTGAGCCTGGGGTTGCTGAGCCTGGGGGTGCTGAGCCTGGGGGTGACGTGCCTGGGGGTGCTGTGTCTAGGGGTGCTGAGCCTGGAGGTGCTGTGCCTGGGGGTGCTTCGTCTCGCCGGGAGCCACTCTCCCCACAGGAGCTGCGTGAGTGGTTTGCCGGGCGCTGGAGGCGTGCTGCTGGTGCTGGTGGTTCTTCGGCTGCAGAGGGTACTGCTGCTGCGCGCCCCGCCGGCGCTCGTACTGTGGGTGCTGGAGCTGCTGAGTCTGAGAGTTCTCCTGGAGCTGGTCCTGCTCAGGGTGTTGGTGCTGAGCCTGCCGTTGGCGGCCCGACTGACAGTGCTCCTGGTGCTGCGGCTGGAGGTTCTGGAGCTTCTGGTGGTGCTGCTGGAGGTGCTACTGGAGTGGGTGCTCCTGCCGGGGCTGCTGGTGCTGTTCCTGCTGTTTCTAGCGTCGCCGCGCGGCCCCGACCGTACTTCGTTCCGCTCCTGCAGCAGGTTCTTGGTCTTACACCTCCTCCTCCTCCCTTAGAGGGTCCGCAGCCTGTCCGGTCACAGCCACAGCTACAGCCTGCCTCCCCTTTGCCTGCTCCTTCTCCCTACGCTGGTCCGACTGGAGGTCTTACTGAGCGTCGTGAGCCTGCGTCTCGTCCTGTGTCGCCTGTTCGTACTGAGCGCGCTAGTGGTCGCGGGTCGCGTCAGCGTCCTCCTCCTGTCCCTGGCACGCACCGGATGTCCCTGCGTCCGTCCACTGCTCCTCTGCGTGCCCCTTTGCCTTCTCCTCCTGCTTCCTCTCTTCCTGCTCTTGCCGACCCGGAGTCGGACGCCCTTCGTGCTGCCAGTCCTACTGTCACGCGTCTCCTGGCTACTGCTGTCACTGACCCCTCCTTCGAGTCGTCTGCTGCGTCTGCCCTTGTCACTGAGCTTGTCGACTTTGCTGCGCGCTGTCGTCTAGACTACGCTGCTCGTCTTGTCACTGAGTCTGAGTCCGCCTGTCCTCCGTCCGTCGGGGGTGAGTGTGCCCTTGGCACGGACGTCCTTGAGGACAGGCAGGAGGAGTTCCAGTGTCTGGCCGCCGCTTCACCTCGTCTCGCGTCTGTACTGCTAGCCCCTGAGGGAGACCCGGATGCACCAGACATCCCGACTCCGCGCTCCTACGCGGAGGCGATAGAGGGTCCCTACTCCTCTCAGTGGCAGGCAGCTATGGATGCAGAGATGGCTTCCTGGAAGTCCACAGGCACCTACGTTGACGCTGTTCCCCCTCCTGGGGCGAACATCGTCAGTGGCATGTGGATTTTCAGGGTGAAGCGGCCGCCGGGTTCTCCGCCTGTCTTCAAGGCGCGTTACGTGGCTCGTGGCTTCAGTCAGCGGCAGGGGGTTGACTACTTTCAGACCTTCTCCCCCACCCCGAAGATGACCACTCTTCGGGTTCTGCTACACGTTGCTGCTCACCGTGACTACGAGCTGCACTCTCTCGACTTCAGCACAGCTTTCTTGCAGGGCAGCCTGCACGAGGAGATCTGGCTGCGTCGCCCACCTGGCTTCACTGGGTCTTTCCCTCCTGGTACCCAGTGGAGTCTCCGGCGTCCAGTCTACGGTCTCCGCCAGGCGCCACGTGAGTGGCACGACACACTGAGGACTACGCTGGCGGCACTTGGGTTTGCTCCTTCCACTGCCGACCCGTCGCTGTTTCTGCGCACCGACACCTCTCTGCCGCCGTTCTACATCCTCGTGTACGTCGACGACTTGGTCTTTGCCACAGCTGACACTGCTGGACTCGCCTACGTGAAGTCCGAGCTGCAGAAGAGACACACGTGCACTGACCTGGGTGAACTGCGCAGCTACCTTGGCTTGCAGATCACCCGGGACAGAGCACGCCGCACCATTACCCTGACTCAGTCACACATGGTGCAGCAGGTCCTTCAGCGCTTCGGCTTCACGTACTCCTCGCCTCAGGCCACTCCTCTGCCTACTCGCCACTCGCTCTCAGCTCTGCCTTCGGATGAGTCCGTAGAGTCGAGTGGCCCGTTTGCAGAGCTTGTTGGCTGCCTCATGTACCTGATGACCTGCACACGACCTGACCTCGCATACCCTCTTAGCATTCTCGCACGCTATGTTGCTCCTGGGAGACACCGACCAGAGCACATGGCTGCAGCGAAGAGGGTGTTGCGCTACTTGTGCAGTACGTCGGGCATGGGGCTAGTGCTTGGAGGGCGCAGTCCAGTGGTCCTCACTGGGCACGCAGACGCTTCTTGGGCTGACGACCAGGCTACGCAGCGGTCGTCACAGGGTTACACCTTCAGCCTTGGTTCCGGCTCTGTCTCGTGGCGGGCTACCCGCTCGTCTTCTGTTCTCGGCTCCAGTTGTGAGGCTGAGATCTACGCTGGGGCTATGGCTGCACAGGAGTTACGCTGGCTCACCTACCTGCTGACCGACCTTGGAGAGCAGCCTCGTTCTCCTCCAGTCCTGTACGTAGACAACAAGGCCATGCTGGCCTTGTGTCGAGAGCAGCGACTGGAGCACAGAACGAAGCACATTGCTCTTCGTTACTTTCTTGCTCGTGAGCTACAGCAGCGTGGACAGCTGCGACTTGCGTACGTGGCCTCTGAGGCCAACACTGCTGATGTCTTCACCAAGGCACTTGCGCCTTGTGATCATCAGCGTTGCTGCACGCAGTTGGGTCTTGTGCCTGTCTTGCCTCACTTGCTCTCCTCTTGACCTTGCTTGTACTTTCGCATATATATACTCTTGTTTTTTGTATATCTCTATATATGATCTTGCATGTGAACTGGCCTTGTGGCCTTTGAACTTGTGCTCGGAATGCGTGGTGACTTTGTGATCCACCCTGAGCTTTGCTTTGCTTTGCTTGACTGGTCTTGTGACCCCTTGTTCTCCCCCACTTTGCCTATGGGGGTGTGTCAGAACTTATAGCTTACTTGTTTCTGTAGGCTATAGTGGGGTATCCCATAGGGGGTACAACCCAATTAGGGTTTCCTATTTGTACTCACTTCGTTCATAGTCATTTCATTCTCGTTCTTTGTTTCCACAACTGCCTGCCAGCTGGCGATAAGAGAGTGCGAGCCCAGAGATGAGAGGGTAGTTTGCAAGTGATGAGAGGTGCACAAGAGAGGGTAGTTTGCATACGTTAGAACCACCTAAACCCTGCATCACACCTTCTCTGACAAGCATCAACCCCCGAGTTTTATGCTAGTGGCATCATGTACGATTAGTGCAAAGCACTTCAGATGGCTAGCAACTGCCATAGCACCTCCTGCGCCAGCACCCACCTGCGCCAGCACCCAGCTGCGCCAGCAGTGCGGCGGAGGGGGCAGCGAGGAGCGAGCAGTGGGAGGCGAGGGCAGCCCGCAGGTGGGCGAGCACGAGGGGCACCCCACCGAGAGGGGCGATGCTGCGACAGATGTCCTCCTGGGAGCACATGTTGTGGCGCGTGAGAGGGGGAAGAGAGGGCAAGGTATGGGGCAATGGAGGTGGTGGTGGTGGTGGTGGTGGTGGTGGTGGTGGTGGTGGTGGTGGTGGTGGTGGTGGTGGTGGTGGTGGTGGTGGTGGTGGTGGTGGTGGTGGGCTATCATTGTTGCCATCGCCGTCGTCCCCACTGGCGGCAGAAGCAGCAGCAGGGGTACGCGAGCAAGAATAGTGGGTGGCACAAGTGAGTGAGTGAGGGGCACGGCACGCACGTTGACGGCGATGGCCTTGAGTGCGCCCAGCACGGCGGGCAGCACGGCCATGTCGGAGGAGAAGGCAGCAGCGGCGCCCAGCAGCACGTCCACGGCACCCGCGTCGGCCATGGCGCGCGCGTTGGAGAAGGTCTTGGACGCCGCCACGCGCACGTTGTCATTCGTCACCAGCGCCCTCACCGCCCCACAGCACGCACATATGGCGCTCTCTGCTTCTGCCACGTCAGCGACGCTGCTGTCCCGGTCAGCACTTTGTTTGGAGTGCACGATGGCGCTGATGGCGTGGAGGAGGTTGCCGTGCAGCGCGACGTCCATGAGCGCCTCCTTCACGCCCTCGTTCCCCTCACTGGCTGCCCGCACTGCGGTGGCTGCTGCTGCCAGCCGCGTGAGGCTGCCGGAGGTGAAGGGCGCGACCGGGAGGGCAGCGGCGAGGAGGGGCGGACCTGCGAGGCGGAACAAGTGGTCCCGTGCCCCGGGTACTGCCGTGAGGGGAGGCGAGGGAGGGGTGAGATCATGGAGAAGCAGAGGAGTGAACGGGTAGGCATTGAGAAGGAGAAGAGTGCAGAACGAGTGAGTTGAGACAGATACAGCAGGTAGGTGTGCTGCATGGGAGTTCGTTGTGAGCATGGTGTGCGCATGGTGTGAGCATGGTGTGAGCATGGTCTGAGCATAGTGTGAGCATGGTGTGAGCATGGTGTGAGCATGGTGTGCGCATGGTGTGAGCATGGTGTGAGCATGGTGTGAGCATGGTGTGAGCATGGTGTGAGCATGGTGTCAACATGGTGTGAGCATGGTGTGAGCATGGTGTGAGCATGGTGTGAGCATGGTGTGAGCATGGTGTGAGCATGGTGTGAGCATGGTGTGAGCATGGTGTGAGCATGGTCTGAGCATGGTCTGAGCATGGTGTGGGCATGGTGTGAGCATGGTGTGAGCATGGTGTGAGCATGGTGTGAGCATGGTGTGAGCATGGTGTGAGCATGGTGTGAGCATGGTGTGAGCATGGTGTGAGCATGGTGTGAGCATGGTGTGAGCATGGTGTGAGCATGGTGTGCGCATGGTCTGAGCATGGTGTGAGCATGGTGAGCATGGTGTGAGCATGGTGTGAGCATGGTGTGAGCATGGTGTGAGCATGGTGTGAGCATGGTGTGAGCATGGTGTGAGCATGGTGTGAGCATGGTGCATGCTGTCTCACCATGCGAGAGCAGCGCCTCAGTGCATGAGAGCGCGTCACACACCGCCCTCTGCACCGCCCTCCTCCCCCTCTCCTCCCTTCCCCCCCCCTCTCCACCGCCCCTAGCACCACCCCAAGCGCGCCCACAGCAGCGGGCGATCCCTCGTTCCGCCCCGCCACCACTATTGCTTCCCCTGGCCCTGATCCACCCGCTGCTGCTACGCCTGCACTTTTGTCCCTCCCTGCGCCTTCCTGCTCCCCCCACCCGCCCTGACAGCCGCCCGCAGAGGGGTTGAGCGCGCGCGAGAGGGTGGACAACGCGTGCAGCACTGCCTGGGAGAACAACGGGATGGGGTGGCGAGGGGCGAAGCGTAAGGTGGTGGGTGCAAGCCGCCGACGCCCTTAGATGCATGACAGCATGCACACTGGCTCTGTTGTGCACGCATCGGGCTAAACCTGGTAAGAATATTTCGTGTTGGCACATCTCCGATCCATCTTCGGGATTTCGCAAATGCTAAAAGAAGGATACGTGCCATGCCTACTCGCGACACTGCAAGGCATGCTATAAGCTGCGTGCGAGGGGGGAGGGGCGCGGGGGGCGACCGCCCGGCGCGGGCGCGGGGGGAGGGGCGCGGGGGGAGACCGCCCGGCGCGGGCGCGGGGGGAGGGGCGCGGGGGGCGACCGCCCGGCGCGGGCGCGGGGGGAGGGGCCCGGGGGGCGACCGCCCGGCGCGGGCGCGGGGGGAGGGGCGCGGGGGGCGACCGCCCGGCGCCGGCGCGGGGGGAGGGGCGCGGGGGGCGACCGCCCGGCGCGGGCGCGGGGGGAGGGGCGCGGGGGGCGACCGCCCGGCGCGGGCGCGGGGGGAGGGGCGCGGGGGGCGACCGCCCGGCGCGGGCGCGGGGGGAGGGGCGCGGGGGGCGACCGCCCGGCGCGGGCGCGGGGGGAGGGGCGCGAGGGGCGACCGCCCGGCGCGGGCGCGGGGGGGAGGGGCGCGGGGGGCGACCGCCCGGCGCGGGCGCGGGGGGAGGGGCGCGGGGGGCGACCGCCCGGCGCGGGCGCGGGGGGAGGGGCGCGGGGGGCGACCGCCCGGCGCGGGCTCGGGAGGAGGGGCGCGGGGGGCGACCGCCCGGCGCGGGCGCGGGGGCAGGGGCGCGGGGGGCGACCGCCCGGCGCGGGCGCGGGGGGAGGGGCGCGGGGGGCGACCGCCCGGCGCGGGCGCGGGGGCAGGGGCGCGGGGGGCGACCGCCCGGCGCGGGCGCGGGGGGAGGGGCCCGGGGGGCGACCGCCCGGCGCGGGCGCGGGGGGAGGGGCGCGGGGGGCGACCGCCCGGCGCGGGCGCGGGGGGAGGGGCGCGGGGGGCGACCGCCCGGCGCGGGCGCGGGGGGAGGGGCGCGGGGGGCGACCGCCCGGCGCGGACGCGGGGGGAGGGGCGCGGGGGGCGACCGCCCGGCGCGGGCGCGGGGGGAGGGACGCGGGGGGCGACCGCCCGGCGCGGGCGCGGGGGGAGGGGCGCGGGGGGCGACCGCCCGGCGCGGGCGCGGGGGGAGGGGCGCGGGGGGCGACCGCCCGGCGCCGGCGCGGGGGGAGGGGCGCGGGGGGCGACCGCCCGGCGCGGGCGCGGGGGGAGGGGCGCGGGGGGCGACCGCCCGGCGCGGGCGCGGGGGGAGGGGCGCGGGGGGCGACCGCCCGGCGCGGGCGCGGGGGGAGGGGCGCGGGGGCCGACCGCCCGGCGCGGGCGCGGGGGGAGGGGCGCGGGGGGCGACCGCCCGGCGCGGGCGCGGGGGGAGGGGCGCGGGGGGCGACCGCCCGGCGCGGGCGCGGGGGGAGGGGCGCGGGGGGCGACCGCCCGGCGCGGGCGCGGGGGGAGGGGCGCGGGGGGCGACCGCCCGGCGCCGGCGCGGGGGGAGGGGCGCGGGGGGCGACCGCCCGGCGCGGGCGCGGGGGGAGGGGCGCGGGGGGCGACCGCCCGGCGCGGGCGCGGGGGGAGGGGCGCGGGGGCCGACCGCCCGGCGCGGGCGCAGGGGGAGGGGCGTGGGGGCCGACCGCCCGGCGCCGGCGCGGGGGGAGGGGCGCGGGGGGCGACCGCCCGGCGCCGGCGCGGGGGGCGACCGCCCGGCGCCGGCGCGGGGGAGGGGCGCGGGGGGCGACCGCCCGGCGCCGGCGCGGGGGGAGGGGCGCGGGGGGCGACCGCCCGGCGCCGGCGCGGGGGGAGGGGCGCGGGGGGCGACCGCCCGGCGCGGGCGCGGGGGGAGGGGCGCGGGGGGCGACCGCCCGGCATGGGACTCGTCCTTGGAGGGAAGCAGCCTGTTACACTCACAGATTACTCGGACTTGTCGTGGGCCGACAACGCGGAGACGTGTCGGTCTACACAGGGGTACTCCTTTAGCCTCGGGACAGGCGCTGTTTCGTGGCGGTTGACTCGGGCGTCGTCCGTGGCCAATTCCAGCTGTGAGGCAGAGGTGTACGCTGCGGCCATTGCCGCTCGGGAGCTTCGCTGGCTCTCTTTCCTTCTCACCGACCTTGGTGAGCGGCCTCGCTCTCCCCCCGTCTTGTTCGCCGACAACAGGTCTGCTGTCCTGTTGTGTGAGGAGCCCCGACTGGTTGGGAAGGCGAAGCACATCCAGCTTCGTTACTTCCTTCTGCGTGAGTTGCAGCAGTGTGGAGAGGCACTCGTACGACGTGTGGTCTCTGAGGCCAACACTGCAGATATCTTCACCAAGGCGCTGCCGCCTTGTGACCACCAGCGTTTTTGCACCCAGCTTGGCCTTGTGCCTACCCGTCCTCACTTGCTTACATAGAGATGTTTTGTCCTGCTTGTCTTGTACTCTTGCATCTCATTATATTTGCTATATATCTACATGTGGACTGGCCCTGTGGCCCCTTGCTTGTCCTCGGAGTGTGTGGTGACTTTGAGCTCCACCCTGAGATTTGTCTTGTTCTTGTGGACTGGTCTTGTGACCCTTTCTCGTTCTTGCTGATTGGTCATGTGACCCTTGCTTGCTCTCAGACTCTGTGTGTCCTTGAGGCCCACCCTGAGATATGTGTTGCTTTCCACAGGACTGCCGTCACCAAGACTATGGCGGTGTGTCAAACTATATTTATATAGTTCCTATATATTAGTCTAGGTGCTGTACAATGTGCTAGGACATTTGCCAGAGGGGTCAGCCAGAGAAACTGCCACTGGCCGACTGAGCAGCGAGAGTGTGGTGCAGTCGCGAAAGAAAGAGTGGGAAGCACCCGAGTCAAGGGTGAAAGTGTGCAAGGCCGCTGCAGGCGCAGTACCAGAGAGAGCAGACTCACCAGCACCTGGAGTAGTGGACTCACTAGCGCCTAGAACAGCAGCCTCCTCACCAGCACCTGGAGTAGGAGATACGCCAGCACCTAGAGCAGCAGCCTCACCAGCACCTAGAGCAGCAGAATCTATACCTGGGTCAGGCGGCACACACAGGTAACAGGCACCCTCAGCACTAGTATACATTGCAGTGAGGATAGCATCATAGTCAAGAGCAAAGATATCTACCCTCCGCCTAAGCAGCTCCAGCCAGGGGGGGAGCTCAGCGTCGTCGCCAAACTCCGTACGCCAGGCGTCGCTCAGAGAGAAGAAGCAACGGGACGGTTGGTCACGCAGACGTCGCTGGAGCTACATCTGGCCACCGCCAGTTGCAGCAGTAGCAGTAGTAGCAATAGTAGCAGCAGTAACAGCAGGAATAGCAAGAGCAGCCGTAGCAGCGCGGGCAGGGCAGTGCGGCTCAGTAGAGCAGGGCTGCACAGCTCGGCAGCACGACGCGGCTCGGCGGGGCGGCTCGGCGCGGCTGAGCAGCGCGACTCAGCTGGGCGGCGCGGCTCAGCTGGCAGGCAAGCGTGGCAGGCAGGCCGGCGTGGCAGCGCGCTAGTAAGGCAGGCACGCGGGAAGCGCGGGTAGGGCAGGTGCTCACCAGTGGCGGGAATGGCCGACGGCAGCGACGGCGGGGCCGTGACAGCTGCAGGGCGGGGCTGCGACAGCGGCAGGGCGGGGCCGTGACGGCGGCAGGGTGGGGGCTCCGCGGCAGCTACTGTAGGGCGGGGCCGCGACTGCGGCAGGGGGCTCCGCGGCAGCTGCTACAGGGCGGGGCTGTGACTGCGACACGAGGCTCCGCGGCAGCTGCTGCAGGGCGGGGCCGCGACCGAGGCAGGGGGCTCCGCGGCAGTTGCTGCAGGGTGGGGCCGCGACAGCGACAGGGGGCTCCGCGACAGCTGCTGCAGGGCGGGGCCGCGACTGCTGTAGGGGGCTCCGCGGCAGCTGCTACAGGGCGGGGCCGCGACAGCGGCATGGGGCTCCGAGGCAGCTGCTGCAGGGCGGGGCTGCGACTGCTGTAGGGGGCTCCACGACAGCTGCTGCAGGGTGGGGCCGCGACTGTTGCAGGGGGGGCTCCGCGACAAGAAGGGACGGCACCTAGGGGGCGCCGCGACGAGTAGAGAGGGCGCCCAGTGGGCGCCGCGACGAGTAAGGGCGATGCCCCGGGGGCGCTGTGACAAGCAGAAACGGCGCCCAGTGGGCGCCGCGACGAGTAAGGGCGACGCCCCGGGGGCGCCGCGACGAGCAGAGACGGCGCCCAGGGGGCGCCGCGACACGCAGGGGCGACGCTCAGGGGGCGCCGCGACGAGTAAGGGCGACGTCCCGGGGGCTCCGCGACGAGTGGGGGCTGCGTCCAGGGGGCGGCGCGACGAGCAAGGGGGGGACGCTGCATGGGTCCCGCAGGGGCGTCGTCACGAGCAGGAGCGACACGCGGTTCGGCAGGGCGGCGCGCGGGTCGCAGGGGCAGCGCTCACGGGCTGCAGGGGCTACGCGCAGCTCGGGAGGGTGGCGCGAGGGCTGCAGAGGCAGCTCCCACGGGCTGCAGGGGCGACACGCGGCCCGATAGGGCGGCGCGCAGGCTGCAGAGGCAGCGCCCACGAGCTACAGGGGCAGGCACGACTGCAGAGGCAGCGCCCACGGGCTGCACGGGCAGGCACGGCTGCAGAGGCAGCGCACAAGAACGACTACAAGGGCAGCACGTTCGCAGGGGCAGCACGCTGGCTGCAAGGGCAGCGCGGCTCCAGGGGCAGCCAAAAAAAAAATTTACAGTTAGGGCAGGGCGGAACGTTCGGTGGGCCCTAGGAACGATTCTGCTCTAATACCATGTGAGAATAAGAACGAGGAATGACGAGAAACATGGCAGTACAGGGTTTGTATAGGCAAAACCTAACAATACTGTACCCCATAAGGAGTGCTCCACTACAGCCTACAATATGGTTTTGACATGAAAAACACGTGTGCCATGGACTGCATCAAATTTTCCAGAAACATGGGCAAACGGGACCAAAAAAAAAAAAAAAAACACGCTTACACACAAAAACAATCCAAGAGGTTGCACACAACGTGGTAAGAGTTTTCCTTTTTTATTAAATATTTGCCGTCAATTTCAC